TTTTTTTTTTTTTTTTTTTGTTTGGTAAGCTTTTCACAGAAAAACAGAGGTATGAGGGTTTTTTCTGTTAAAAATTACCTTTTCTAGTTTTAAAAATTTTGCTTGGGTTTTGAAAACATTTCAGAAAACTATTTTAATCTTTAAAAACTGAAAACCAAAAGCAAAGTTCAAACAGACCTTACCTCTCTATTTACATTTCCAATCTTTATGATGTGTTTGCATGTAATTTTCAAATGCACCTCTACTGGTTTATGCTCTATCGTTTGATATTTTCTCTGGTTAAGAATTTGAACCATTATGGTGTAGCCAAAATAATAATTAATAAAACAATAATCTAAGCTGTGCTTGCCCCTGCATTCCAAAAGTATCTTTTACATATACTGAATTTTTAGGAACAACGGCCCTTCACAATGGTAAGATATTGTCCACTTTGAGTATAAGCTTTCATAGTTTTGCTTTTAGTTTCTCCAAAAGACCTCCGTATCACAATCTAGATAGTGTCTTTCACTTATATATCAATGATCTTCTACTTAATTAGCTAATATGGGACTCCAACATTTTATTCTCTTACCTTTTTCCTGTCTTCCCTTATACATTTGTGATTCAAATTATCTTATAATCTTTTTCCTGTCTTCCCTTATACATTTGTGATTCAAATTATCTTATAATGTATCTTTGTTGCAGTACGCCAACTGAAGTAAAAGAACGAATTTTAAAGGGACGCATGGATTGATATTTCTTCGGATGTTTGAAAGATGACGTGTTTCATGATTACTTCCAATTAGGCTGCAGCCCAGGGCAACAAAGTTCGTGAGTGAAATGCAATAGACTTTCATGCTAGGCTGGAACTTGTAATGTGCTCTATATATATTTGACATGGAGTTGGCTTTATCTAGAACACACATGAGACAATTTTTATGAAACGAAATGTGTGCCTTTTGGTTCCAAAAATGATCAATTTAGATTCCAAAATTTCCAGCTCAAATATATTTACTCGTAGTCAATTATATTCTGTCTTGTCCATCTCTTGAATCAGTTCTTGTGGAACCGCCAAGAGGTAAGGTAAGAAATGGCTTGATGTTTTGCCAAAATGACAACTTTCCATTTCTTTGATCAAAACCTGCCTTCTCTGCCAAGAAAACTTATGGCCCCTAGAATATTGAAATGACCATGAGAGTTGGTTTCTTGTTGCCTTCTATGAAAGTTGTCTCGCAATGAAGAAACCAGCAAAATATGCAACCTCATATATCCTAATCCATGGCTCATGTTGCACTGTTCTCAATGATTTTTATCCTTTGTAAATGTTGGAACAGGTGAACTCAGATTTGATCATGGCCTTGGCAATGCAGCAGCAGGAGCATGAGATGCCCTATACGACGCTTGGGACCATCGAAAGTGATAGCGACGAAGATGAAAGGTCTGATTCCAATAGCAACAATGGTCTCGACACCAATGCCTCCTTCCAAGTTGAATATGAGGATAGTGAAGAATTGGCTGCCCTTCCTTGTGAGCATCCTTACCATTCAGAGTGTATAGTAAAATGGGTTCAAATCAAAAGGGTTTGTCCAATATGTGGCACAGAAGTTTCATCCCCCAAGCCTTCTAAAAATGCATAATCTCTTACAAAATTGTGACATTTCTAATGGCAAAAGGGGAAGGGTTACATAAATGTTCTTATACTTGATAGTTCTAAAATCTTATAAATTCATCCTCAATAATTATAGTTTAGTGAAACTCCAACGATGTAACATATTCATCCAGGTTCCAAATGAAAGTGGTCGATCTTGACCCTTGAACATTAACATCGAGTCGTTCACAAAGTCTAGGACATATAGTTATGATTATTACCGAACAGTTCTTAGGCACAGTGCTAAGTCTAGGACATATGGTTAGACAAGAAATAATAACACTTTTACACGATTCGCAATTACCCGTTGATCTAGTCTACTTTTTAAGCATAAACTTTTCGATGATTTCGTACTAATAAAAAACGCGGTGGTTTCACTATTATGCTCAAACTATAGTAGGATATGGATAATTTAATGTAAGAAGATAAGGCATGGTTGAATAAAGAAATGAGAAAGATGGGATCGAGATTGAGGGGAGAGAAGTCGGAGCGGCGCCGCCCTTAGAGTAAGGGTTTGGGGGTTTAGGGTTTAGTGGAAGAAACAAAATGGAGAGTGCAATTAACTTGGACAGAATTTAAGAGAGAGAGAGAGAGGGGGAAAAGTGAAAGACATGGGTGCGGTGTGGACCATATGCTTGTCTTCTCTGGAACACAACTGGATGCGATCCAACCGCTACCTTCGTAACACCCAAGTTTAAGCTTTTCACATTACTTTATATTTTATTTTATTTTAAAGGATAAATTAATAAATAAAAAAAATACTTTACCATTTTATATTTTATTTAATTTGAAAGGATAAATTAATAAAAAAAAATACTTTCAAATTTTATATTTTTATTTCATTTGAAAGGATAAATTAATAAAATAAAATAAAAAACTTTCAAATTTCATATTTTTATTTAATTTGAAAGGATAAATTAATAAAAAAATATTTTCCCATTTTATATTTTATCTTAAAAAGAATATATTTAAACCTTTAATGTTAATTTTTTTTTGGAGGAAACTTATGGTTTATTTCAAAAACTTCTAAAATTTAAAAAAACTCCATTAAAAAAGTCTTGCAATAATATATTTAAAAAATACTCACAAAAATTTAATAGCAACATCCTATCCTTAAAAAAAATTTTAAAAAAATTATTATAATGGACATTTCATAAATAAATTAATCCTTAAAATAAATTATTCTATGAACTTGTTGTTTGAGATCTAAGTCAACCAAATCAGTGGATCGTTGTTTCTATTTTGTTGGAGTTTGAAATCAATGCAATTTAACTTGTTCGGTGAAAATAAAATGTTAAATCACGACCTATTTTAAGGACTTTTAAATTCATTCACGAAACGGACATTTGTGATTCCCAACACATGTGGCAAACAATTCGGGCTTAATACTCGTGTATGGTCTTGATGACAGCTAGTTTTAGCACCTAATAATGATTCTTCAAGCTTTTAATGAAAATAGACCATTTTAACAACGAAGTCCAATCAATTGTTGACGAAACTTAAGCTTATCATCATCAACGACTAGTATCACGATCTTAGAAGATATTAAAAAAGAAAAAAAAAACACTAAAAATTCATTTTATTTTATTTTAGTTGAAATATAGTTCAAAAATGTTATTTTTAATTCCAATATTTATAGCTTTACTATTTTTAATTCTAATAAAGTTGTGAGGGCTGATTGACAACTTTGGGCATGCGCAGATATAAATAAATTATAAATAAATAAAATAAAATAAAATAATTAAAAAAAACATTTTTTCTTTTTTTTTTACTCATAAGCGTGTGGCAGAAATAGTGCAAATAAAATAATTTTAGTTGCTTTCCGAAGCTTTTATTTATTTATTTATTTAAGAAAAGGACAGATAAAAAAAAAAAGCAGTCAAGATGCATGCATTTACATGCATAATTTTATTTTTGTGTTCTTTTTTTTATTATTTATTATTATTATTATTATTTAATTTTCTCATTTCTTATACCTTCCAAACGTCCCGTCTTTTTCGTTCATAGAGGTGTCAACTGGACAGAACAGGAACGAGGAAGGCTATTCTTGTCTTTTCCTGCCTAAAATTCCAATTCACCAAACAATTAACTCAAATTCAACATTTTGATAAAGACACTTTAAAAAAAAAAAAAAAAAAAAAAAAAAAA